TGATACAGCAATTCCACCTCTGAGCATATACTGAAAAGTACTAAAGGCAGAGTCTTGCGCACCCACACTCACAGCGGCATTGTTCACATTAGCTAAGACGTGGAAGCAACCCAAGTGTCCTTCGACAGAACAGTGGGCAAGCAAAATGTGGTCTGTGTACACATATGCAGTGGAATATTATTCAGCCTTGGACAGGAAGGGCATTCTGACATATGCCATAGCATGGATGAGCCTTGAGGACGTTACAGGAGAGATAAGTCAGCCACAAAAGAGACAAACACTGCATAATTCTACTTATATTAGATACCTGGAGTAGTTTAAATCATAGAGACTAAAAGTAGAATGGTGATTTCCAGGGCTACAGAAGGGGAAATGGAAAGTTATCTTTTAATGGGCATAGAACTTCAGTTTTACAAGACGAAAAGAGTTACGGAGATGGATGGTATATAAATGTATTTAATACCACTGGACTGTACACTTAAAAATGGTTAAGATGGTAAAGTTTATGTATTTTGCTACAATAAAAAAAGGAGAAAATTATATAGGATTGTTATATTACCCAAAAGATTCCATTGCCTGTGCTGACTCCTCTTACTCTAGACAGTCACTTCTCTTTGTTCACGGAGGTTTCTCATTTTGCAGATGGAGAGATTTGGGTACAAAAGGGTCCCTTCTGTGCCACTGGAGTCACAGCCAGGAAAATGGTTTCACTAGTTTGATGGCTTCTTAAAGATGCCGGAGCAACTGAGGAATTGCTTATAAACACTTGGCCTCTCTATAAATGAGAAAACTATCTGAGAGTCAAGGGTTTAGAGTTTTTTATAGCTCATTTTTAAATCTTTCCATTTTCTGGGTCAGCTCCCTCTTCAGTCAGACTGGTACTGGTAAGGCTGAATAAATGGGAGAGCATGGATGAGGGCCAGCTATGCTTTCCTAAGAACCTCACATCAGTGATTCAGGTAACTTTATTGTGTTTTTGTGCACCAAGGCAATGCTGATGCTAATGCAAGTGTTCGCTTGATGAACATAAAGGGAACTGGAAGCCAGCAATTTCAGCAAATTCTCAGCAGTCAATATTTAAACAATTCCTCTTTAAACATACCCAAGTGGGGGCTCCAGTGTTGGTCCAGTGGCTTATAGCATTTGCTGACTTGAAAGATTTATGTAAAGACAATTTAGATCATCAGCAATACGTATTAAGATACACAAAATGCTTTTGAGGATGGCTTTGATTTTTCAGAAAATACATTATGAAGAAATTGACGTCCCAGGTTTGATCAATAACAGGAATACATGTGAAGCCTTCTGCACTTTCTTATTAAAACTGCTGAACTGGTCTGGGAAACCAATCTGTTTCAAACCACTCAGTGTTAGAAAAGAATTTCCCAGCCCCAAGTAGGTCTCTGTCAAGCTGGCATGATGGTCCATGTGCTCCAGGACTATCTCTATCCTGGACAGTGCCATTTTGCATTAATAGACTGTGGGTGTCCTAGGCTTGAGTGATGCATTGCTCTGATGTGTCAGAACAACAGCTGGCTCAGTTTCTCTATGCTGGGAGCCCAGCAACAGCTGACTGCTATGATGGATTACGTGCATGGTGCAGCCTATCGCCGTAATACATCAAGACAAAGCACTGATATGAAGGTGAATTAGTCAAAAGACAGAGTTCCTGCAAGCTCCAAACCCAAGAAAAGGATTTCTGTTTAATTATAGAAATAAAAGACAACGTAACCAGCAGGAGGCTTAAGGGTTGTCAAATGCGGGGCTGTTCCTACAATAGAATTCACACGAAGTGAGCAGCATTACCAGATGAGGTTTGGTGGCTGCTCTGATATCTCAGGGTGTGATTCACATCCGCCCTCAGTACCTACCCCCCCAGAGCAGCTGGACCACAGTTGGGACAAATTTTTCCATGTGCCTTTTTTGGTAGAGATTTTCAAAATCCAGCCCTACTCTACTTTAAACAAGCAGATTCCCTCTGTCCTGAGTCCAAGTATTCTTTCCATCCCTCTCTTTCCTTGGACCTGTTTGCTTCAAGACCACACAGAACAGAGTAAAATTATAAAATGATAAGGTCTGTGCCACTCTGCCTCACAAGAGGTGGTTCAGCCTGTTGACATTCATTCATTCAATTATTCATTCAAGAAGTATTGATTGAACATTGAACTTAAGATGTGTCAACTGCATGTAATTAAAGAAGAACTTCAGTGGTTAAAAAGTAGGGGCCTTTATTAGCTCACATGAGATGCCCAGAAGAGGCAGTTTCTGGGGTGGAATGATGCAGTGACTCAGTGACACCATCAAAGATCCAGCTTCTTGTCATCTTTACATTCTGCCATCTGGGTTCTGTCTTTAGGCCATTGCCTTCGTGGTTGCAAGATGGATGCTGTAGTTGCAGCCATCGCATGTAGACGCAATCACTGATCCGAGGAAGAAACAGAAGGGGCGTTCTCCCACATTCTTAAGAGCGAGGAAAGCTTTTTTCAGAAGCCAACATCCAATTTCCCTTCAAGTCTCACTGGCCAGAACTGTATCCTTTCCATGTCCAAACCATCACTGGTAGGGAGAATGAGACCACCATGAAAGGCAGGCTACAGTCTGTTCCCCCTGAAGGACATGGCTGCTTAGCAGAGGGTAAATAAAATTGAGGTTTGGGAATGAGGGGGTGGTCATTTGCTATTTGGAGGGCAATTTATGGTATTAGCTACAGGCTCCTTGCCCTAAAGAGCAGGTGAAACCTGCCTTAAGATTCTTAAGAGCCTCCAGAGGGCAGCTTGTGGTAGACAGAGTGATGCACCACCCAGATCCTCTTTCAGGAATAAAACCCCTTTTCTGGACAGCCCCAACTGTCAGCTCTCTGCAGAAGAAAACTACCTTGTTCAAGGCCATGCTCTTTCCAGGGTCAGCCTGCATGCAGTGACTGATTGACACAGGGTAGGAAGGCCTGGCTCCCTGGTTCTACTTGGGACAGTTCTAAAGTGTCATCCCAGCTTCAGGGCTCCTGGTGACTAAGGACTTGCCAGCATCACAGCTTAATGTCTGCTGCCCAGTCCTGCTTGCTCCCATCCAAAGGTGGTGTGATTCCAAGATCTTGCTTGCTGATCTCCATGTCAGAGTCTGCTTTCTGGGAAATCTGTGGCACAGGGTTCTGACCTTACATCCCTGCAGACTCTGCAACATGGAGTGACCCAGAGCTGTAGCTGTTTGTTTTCCCTGCTAGACACTCAGTAATTGGAACATGTGAAGTAGGTAGCCAAGTCCTGGAACCACTGAAGATTCTAATCTAATAAGAAGACTCTCTCTAACCCCCAGTAATAACCATTTTTAATTTACTTTCACTTTATGAGGAGGTATAAAATCTGACAACTCATTTGAGCTTAGACATTGGTCAGAATTACAGCTGTGTTTCTCCTGTTATTATGAGCAGAAGTGGATCAACAAATAGATTATTGACAGTGTGGGATCATGAGAGTGCTCTTGTCCTTGCTGCTCAAAGCAGGGTCCCTGGACCTGCAGCACTGGTGTCACCAGGAGTTGGTTAGAAATTAACATCCAGGCCATGCCCAGGACCCCCTGAGTCAGAACCTGCGTTTGAATGGGTGAGGCACAGGCAACACTTTCCTTCTACAGCTAAGTCAACATGCTTCCCCCACTTGCCCTGAATTTTTGTTAGGGTGGTTATTACTCTTGGATTTGGATAATTTAAAAATATTACAAATGCTTTCAGAGGTTAACATATACATTTACAAACACTGTACATGGAGTTAGTTTGTGTTATTACAAGTTACATAAGCTCATGCAAAACATTTGTGAAAGCCCTATGTTTTGTCAGACTTTTCTTCATGGTCAGAAATGTCCAAAGCCACTTGACCTGATGAAGAAGGAAGGGGCTAGACAAGAGGCCAGAGGGCAGAAGGGTGACATGGGAGGTTCCAAAGTCAAACTGCACATTTCCCTCAAGGACAGCAAAGCATTTGATGCTTATCATTGGTTAAACCTGCAGGTGTGAACTCCTACCACAAGCACTTCTTGGCTGATGTGGGTGTCCAGCTTTCTGTTTGACCATCAACACATTTTGAAGGAAGCAGACCCTGAACCAAGGACTCACTGACTCATTTCAGGGAAGGCATTGAAGGGTTTCCAGCATGGAAAACAGGTAGAGTGACTTTAATTAAGCTTTGCAAGGGATAGTCCCACACAGAAGCAGAACGATCGTGGGGCTGCCACCTGCTATTGGGATGACATGCTGGCCTCTGGAATGGAGCCACCCTCCTGCCCCACAGGGATGATGCAGAGGAGTGCTAACGCAGCAGGTCCAAGGTAACGCCCTGGAATGCTTGCCAGATTCAAGTGCTGGAGGGCTCCAGGTGCCACTTCTAGGCACCTCAGCAGCGGTCAGTGAAAAAGTGGCCAATGATAGGTACAAGAAATCTCCTGCCAACTGAAGGTGCCGTAGGGCATGTGCCACTGTGAAGAGCCAATGCATTTCTGGGCTCCTCACTTTTTGGGGTCATTGAGTCTTGAGAGTCTTGATTCTTGGATGTTTTTGTTCTGTACCCTCCAATGAATGGTAACGCCAATGCTGAGAGTAAGTCACTTTGTCTTAATTTTCTCACCTATAAAATGGGGATAATGAATTTCAGCCTAAAAGGATCCCAAGAGGTAAAATATTAGAAAATGATTGAAAAATTATAAGGTCTTTTTTTTTTTTAGTAGTAGTAAGGAAGTTAGTAGGAGGGGCAGCAAGGAAAGAGAGTTATTGTTGGTAAGCTGGGGAAGTAGTAACTTTGATCTCTAACAGAGGGACCACAAGCGTTGTGGTATCTGAAGAATATTAGTGCTAAGTCAGGAGCCGAGGCTCCTTCTATCTTACTGTGCCACCATTCACAGCATGTTACCTTCACCAGCATGTCCAGGTGGCCTACTTTCACATCTAGCCAACGGGAAGAGGAAAGGAAGGACGTGCTTGCTCTTTTTAAGGGCACAGTCTATAAATTGCACTCACCAATTGCACTCACATCTCATTGGCCAGGACTAACTCACACGTCCATCTTTACCTGCAAGAGAGGATAAGAAATGTCATCTTTTTTCTCTAGGTGGTCATGAAACCATCAAAAATTAGAGGTTCTATTATGTTGAGAGAGAAAGGGAAGAGTGATATTGGGGGACGAAGAGCAGCTGCTGCCACACCCGGTACACTGCAAAATAATGAGACCATATGAGAAACCACCACAGAGAGAAGAAAAGCACCTCCTCCTCCACATTCCTCTCTTTCAATAGCCCCTAACTTAGAGCTATTGTCACCAAATCTGGGTGACAGGCCTCTCTTTCATTTTGAGTCCAAATAAATTCCTTGGCAGAATCCATTTCTTCCTGTATTTAGAGTGATAGAAAAGCCCTGCTCCTCAAACACAATGTTAACATCAAAGTAAGATTATTTCTAAATGCTAGAGTGAAAAAACCCTAGGAGACAGGACAAGACGCTCTTAGAAACAAATTGGTAGTCAATGAGGTCGGTTGAGAACTGGAAAGCAATGGCCACTCCTTCTTCTTCTAATTGCTCTCAGGAGGAGAAAAAATGGAAATGAGAAGGGTGAGGAAAGGAGCTGGGTGAGAACTGGGGGAGAAGAGAGGATAGTCAGTTGATTGTGTATCTGCTCTTTTCCCTGAGGATTCTCGGTGGTTGAGGGATTAACTCTGATGGTCATCTTGGCCTTTTTCTTTTATTGCCATTTAATCCCATACAATGCCTGTTTTAAATCTTTTTGTTTGACAGACCCCTTTGAGAATCTGAGGAAAACAATAGCTCTCTTCCCAGGGAGAAAATTACATATGGATAAAATTTAGATTCCATTTTTCTATCCTCAAGAACCTCAGGGCTCAGAGGCTGATTCCTAGACCAAGAGAATCGGCTTCACCTGAGGACTGAGAAAGGCAGGCTCTGGGGTCCCAAACCAAGTCTTATACATCAGAATCTGCATTTTAACAACATCCCCTGTGATTTACATGCACATTCAAGTTTGAGAAGCACTGCTCTGGAAGTCAGTGAAACCCAACTCTATCACGACTGGTTGGATGTGGCTACATCGGTTAGGCTATAGGTTCAGCTGCAAATTTAAAAAAAAAAACCCTACCAAAAGTTGCTTAAACAGAATAGGAGGCTTCTTTTTCTCATGCAACCTAAAATCTAGTAATAAGTCCATTCAGAGATGGTGTAGTTTGCCTCGCTCTCCATCTATATTTCCACTCAGCCATCTTTAGTATGTGGCTCTCGTCCTCATGGCCGTCAGATGGGCCCTAGACCTCCTTTACATTCTAAGCCAAGGGCAAAAGATGGCCATAATAGGAGCTATACACCAAATACTAAAGATTTTACAGATCTGTAAGATGTTCCTGTGTATTGTGCCATTGAGTCAATTCCAACTCCTGATGACCCTGCGAATGAGTGACATCCATCGTGTCCTGCCCTCAACAACCCCACTCAGCTCCTGTTCACTCACTCCATGGCTTCTTTAACGGAGCCAGTCGGTGTCGTACTTGCTCTTCCTCTTTTCCTGCTTCCTTCCATTTCCCAGCACCATCATCCTTTCCTGAGAACCCTGCCTTCTCATGACGCGCCTTAAGTAGGGCAGCTTCCACCGATGTTTCAGGCTTACTGTGCTATGGGACACATTTGCTCATTTTCCTGGTGGCCCAGGGTATCTGCAGGGCTCTCGTCCAATACCGTATTTCAGATAATATGATTTTTTTCTATCAGTCTTTTTCACTGCTCAGCTTTCACATCCGCACACAGTAATTGGGAATACAAGGGTTTTTCCATACTCCCTGCAAAAACGCTCTGATGCGGACTACATAGAATGCAAAGCTACAAGATTTTGATTCATCTTTTAGATATAGTTCAGCTTTTAGATAATTTATAGATGTGTTGGAAAAAGAGACAGCCAATATTTAGTCCCCATCAGTAACAGATTTAAAGAACCTATAACAAATATTTACCAAGATATCTTTTCAAATCTAAGTTGTCAGCACCAAGTTTGTGTAGCCCATATAAGTTTACAGTATCGATGCTTATTTCAGTGGTGTGTGGACAGCTGGATAACAGTTTTTGAGAACTATACTATTTTGCTTTTATAAAAACCACTTCTTGTATTGGCTTCATGTATTCATTCCCACAAGTCAGTATATGCTTGTCAGGATTATTAATACTCACATGAAGTTACACTCCTCACCACAGTTTTGGGAAGCAGCCCCTCTGACAACGAGGGCTGCCATCTTATATGCTGTTCAGACTTTCGGGCCTGATCAGTCCTGTTTCCAAGACGTCTGTGGTGTTATTGACATGTTAATTATTACAGCAAATGACAAAATGTGCAAAATGGTACCCCCCTTCTTAATGACATAAATAAGTGAAGCAATTAATTTTACACAATAAAAACAAGCAATACAATAACTTACAAATTTGGAGTTTCTTCATTATTACATCAAATTGCAAAATGGAAACATGTAATTTCAAAAGGCTCATAAGTAAAAATGGAAACACAGCTGATGCCGCGTCAGCTTGTGGGCTGCAAAATAACGTGGGGCTTGCACAGTGCGGAGCAGTCGACATCTTTTAGATACATCGGGCCACGTATGGTTCAGAAACTATAAATCTTCCTAGAACTGAGCCATCCCAATGATCCAAGCCATTTGCACATTGTAATAAAAAAACAAAACAACAATTTTCCCCACTTATTTTCCTTCATGTATTAGTTTGGAATTCCAGCGGCCACTTTGCTTAGGATCCTCATCTCCATTTACCTGAAGTTGCAGGAGCTGGAAGCCTATGATTGATCTTGTAACTTCAATATCTGCAGAAAGATAAGGAGGAAAGCAAATTTTCTGGGAGAGCTGACAGCAGTCTTTAAGATGAAATGTGTATACACCAAGCCTGACACCCTATATTGCCCCCCTATCTTTGAAACCGACAGTTACAGGGCTGACATTGGGTTCTGTGTGTTTGTTTTGGCGAGTGAGAAAGTAACACATATTTCTTTGACATCCTGTGCAATTTTGCAAGTATTCAGGGCACACTCCCTCCTTTGCATGGAGAATGTATTTGCACAGTTGTCAGAATGATGGACAGTGGAGCGAGTGACAAGATGGAGCGCTGATCTTTGCTTGTTATTGCATACAATAGCCTGGTAGGAATCGTGTGATGTGTTGGTGAGACAAACTGTGTCCCATTCTGGAACATATTAAGTTTGTCTCCAGGACACACATGACTTCGCTAGGGTGTGGAACCTCATTCATAATAGATGCTAATCTTTTCAGGGCTGACTGATTACAGCACTTCCTGCCCTTCACGGAATTAGAGCTGGGTTTTATCAAAGGACTCAAACTGCCTGCTAATTAGACTAATTCCCTTCATCATGAATTATTTATTTCCATTGGTAACCGATCACTGTGACATTAATGGGTTCTGCTCAACTTGGTTTCATACTAATACACGCTAGGAGTTAAATGTTTAAAAATTCCTGATACTTCACTCCAGGTCAAGTGTATCTTTGGCTAATATTTGACAAATTTGATGAAGCTCGATGGTTATGTTTTAGTTACAATAAAATGAGACAAAGTTTCAGATATGGCTTAGAATGTAAAACAAACCTATTTCTCTCTCTGCTCTGGTGTCTCTTGACTTAGGCAGAATAGGTCATCTTACTGTCTGTTGCTCATGCTGTCTGTGTTGTGTAGTATCTGTCAAGGTCAAACCATCATGTCAAAATGCTGGCGATCCTCTTTAGGATAATAGTATTTCAAAGTTGAGCTAGACAGAATGTCAGTTAGTAAAGCTGACATGATGCTTAATTCAGTTATTGACATCTGCTGATGAAAGCCGGAGGGCAGTGTCTTGTTTAGCCATTTGTAAAACACAGACTGCACTTTTGAAAAACAAAATTTACAGATCTAGCCCAATGGTGCACTATGCGTTAACCCTTGAAGTTGTACAGACGGGGTGCCTCAAAGTGCAGTCCGGGCTCTACCTGTGTCCTGGAAGTGTTCGTGAAAGTGCAGATTCCTGGGCCACACGCAAGGCCTGTTAGAGAATCTCTGAGAATGGGATCCCAGAGTTCGCCTTGCTACCAAGCACCACAAGGGATTCTTAAGCAGTGTGAAGATCTGTTATCCTGGAAAAACTTTATAAATCAATATTTTATCAGAAATATCGAATCATCTCATCCACTATAGAGGGAACACGGCCATTCAAGGTTGGTACTGGCTTCTGGAACTGGCTTCCACAGCAGCAGTCTCATCACCACGCACAAAATGAACATCAGCAGTTAGGTCTGTGAGTGAGGGAAGCAGACGCCACACCTTCACTTCAGGATACATGTGAAGAAGGTGTGAAAGGAAGGGCATCAGCAGCCCCCATTCGACAGGGCAGTGTGTGTTAGGTGGGCAGTCTTGCCACAGGGGGCACCCACAAAGGCACGTAATTGTGCCAGGTAGTGTGGCTATGAACTACTGAATTTTGGAAAGTGGTAAAAGAGAAAGTAAAAGGGCAGCCGTACAATGAGTGGCAACTGCAGATGAGGTGACATACACTGCACAAAGGCACTGTGCAGTCCCCAGTGCAGAGAGGCAGAACCACAAGTCAGCTCTGTTACAAGCATCTCCAGTTCCAAACCCAAGGATGGTTTTCACGGGTCCCGCATACCAAAGACACGTGGTCTCACATCCCATGTATCTGTGTGAGCAGAAAGCAATGTTTTCAACAATGTCAGGGTTACATATAAGAAATAATATATTATGCACATTCGTTAACCCCCGGTAAATTCTATCACACTTGTAATTTGAAGCATAAGTAATCTCTCCTTTCAGATTTTCTTTAACAAGTGGTACTATTGTATAACAGGAGCATTTTAATCCTCACATATGAGATCTATGCAACTGAGGAAGTGAGACGAAGTGGATTTGACCTTGAGCTGCACAGCGCACTGTTGTCGGGAGTGCAGTCACGCCATAAACAGGCATTTCTGACGTGCTTGCTAGGGTCTAGGGCCTTGTATTTGACGAAACTAGCCTTACGGAAACATGCATGGAGAGATTGTGGATTCACAAAGAGTTTACAGATATTTCCTGAATTATTTATGTGTGCAAGTGGCTCATTCTACCTAAAACCACAGGTGATATTTTTCTACTCAAGAAAAAAACTTCTTAAGTTTCCCAAAATATATTCTAAGGAAGACTAAGGTATAAAGATATTAATAAATACTCTTCAGGAAGAGTGCAGGATCAAATAAATGTGGGAAATGTAAACTTAACCACTTCTGAAAGTTTCTTCTGTTTCTTTCCAGATGGAGGAACCAGGACTAGATCTACTGTCCCAGCAAATCCCTGAAACGGCTCTTCTTTGATGTGGGACAGAGGCAGTGCAAGGCTGTGATTCCTGAAAGGTGAGAATCAAATACGATGGACCCCACCTGCACTCACTCTGGTTTCCACTTGGAGGCAATCTGCAGACTACAGCGCAGGGAAGGGAACCCCATGCAGAGCACATGGGCTTGCTGAATGGAGGAAAAGGAGGTCGGGGATGCTGTGGAGGTTGGAAGTTGCAGGTCATCGTTCCAAAGAAAAGGGCACTACGTAGAAAGAGAGCTACCTGAACCTTCACAGAGGACCCCTTGAGTCTTTGCTGATACGAGGTTATGCCATCGTGGTGTAAAATGCCACGAGGCAAGGGAAAATATAAGCAGGAACATGTAAATCCACAAAGGCAGGGATGTGTTTAACCTCCAAGCAGCCTGAGTGGAGCATCCTCATTTGTCACTGTCAGTGAAGGTCACAGGGGGCCATGCCTTAATAATATGGCCGAACATCCCCTGGGGTAAAACTACACTTGATATGTGATAGAAAAACTAAGGAAACTGGTCTAGAAAGGATCAAACTAAAAAGCAAGTAATTGCTTGCCAAAACAAAGCCTGGTGCTCTTTAAAAGAAAAAAATCCAGACATTCCACCACATAATATTCATAATGTCCATAATCCAACTTTCAAAATCACCAGACATGCCACAAAGCAGGAGATGTAAGCTATAACCAGAAGAAAAATCAGTCAATAGATAACAGGCTAGTTTGTCAAGTAGAATTCTCAAAAATGATGTTAAAACGGCTATTATACAGATGTTCAAGCAGTTAAGAAAAGTATGGATATAATGAGAAGAAAAATAAAAGGTAAAAAGAACCAAATGAAACTTCTAGAAATTTAAAAATATAATGTATGAGCAGAAAATTTTAGTGGAATTAACAGAAGATTAGGCACTGAAGGAAAAGAAATCAGTGAACTTGAAGACACAGGAAGAGAATCTATACAAAATGAAATATAGAGAGAAAAATCACCAAAAAGCAAACAACAGAGCAGCAGTGACTTATAGGATAATACGAAGCAGTTTACCATACATGTCATTAGAGTCCTAAAAGAAGAGAGAAAAGAAGGGAATAACTATTTATTTGAATAAGTAATTCCTTAAAACTCTAATTTGTTTAAAATTACGCACTCTTAGGTAAAAGAAGCTCCCACACTGGCTCTCTGTTTGTCTCAAGAAAGCCTGGAAGTTTTGTGGATAAACTTTATGTGCAGTGGTGTTCAAATGAACCCCTGGCTGCCTAAGACTTCCCTCACTTCTTATTGCAAGGAATTCTCATAAGCATCAAGTTCCCATGGGCTTTCTTTCCACCAGCAGAGGGATAGAGCACAGGCATGAAATAAACACTCCTTTTGGGGACATCAGGACCCAGTGAATCAGGACAAACTACTGGAAGCCAGACCATGGGCACAGGAGATGTCTCAAGTCATTTGCTGTTCTTCTAGTGCTTTTTACTAACTTTCATGGAATTCAGTTTTGTTTTGTTTTGTTTTGTTTTGTTTTTCAGAGAACTCAGGACGTCTTGTGAAAGCAGTTGCTATATTTCAGCCCTTCTGCATACACAGGAATAGAAGGAAAGTAAGAGGAGTTTGGGGAATCCTGGGGGAAAAAGACATGGATTAGTGTAGTAGGGCAAGGACAGCTGAAAGTTAAATAATTTGGGATGCAGCCGTGGCATGGAAGTAAGAGTAGCTTCAGAAGTAGCCAGACCAACTCTGCCTCTTACTTTCTGTGAGATACTTGGCAATTTTCTTATATTTCTGAGCATTGATTTCCTTATTTATAAACCAGGGATAAAAATATAAACTTGTGCGCATATCATACACACAATGGACACTGCATATACACATGTTATAATTTCCTCTTGTTTACTTAATGAAATAATATATGTACAATGCCTAGGACACAGTAAGCGCACAATAAACAGGGCTGGCATCATTGTTTCCAAAGCCATAGGAACAGTTTAAAATAATGAATCCCTTATCTGTGAGCATAGAGTGCCTACTATAGAAGGTTGGGGTAGGGGGCTCTTTAAAAGCTTCCAGTTAGGGTAGAGGTAAGGAGGAAAATAACTTATATTACAGAGCTCTCTTTAAGAAAAACTGCAAGATACTTCATTGTTTTCACAGGCAAGCTAATTACACCTGAATCTTCTCTGAGTGGCATAAGAAACTTCTTTTAAGTGTTCTTTTTGTTCAGTGGTTCTAACAGAAAGCCCATTTTCTTTTAAAAGCAGTTGTTCCTCTACTCCTATGCAATGGTGTCCCCTGAAGATAAACGCATCATTTAGAACTCTCTATACATTCTGTTGCCTGAACATGTTTTCTAAATATAGTAGCCAGATGATTACTTAATTTAGCTGGAAATGGCAGATTGTTGACAAAGAATCCCTGCTGAGTTCCAATGCCTTGAAATGCAGCTTTTTTAAAAAAGCAAATCATATCTG